TGTTATCTATTTATCCGTTATCGTGGTGCATACAGTGATATCATTGCAAAAATATCGGAAATTAAAAAGTAAGTGTAAACATAGACAATAAATATCCGGTTGAATTTACAACTTTTAACCATAACAACCAGGGGAGTTTAAAAATAAATATGACAAATAAATGTGTGGGAATATTTTTTAAATATTTGTCACTCGATTTTGTTTATTACTAATCTTTATCCGCGACTTCATATGACCAGGATAGAAGTAGCCTACAAAACTTTTAAGTTGTGTTCTTGTCAACGTCGTTTATGACACTTTTTCTGCATATCATTAATTTTATACGAAATACTTTTGTTACAAGTCCTTCTTATATAATAAAAAATTGCCGTGTGGTCTCAGCATAGAATGGGCACACACCTTCCTTTCCCGTGAGTGTCGTAAGAGGCAACTAAGGGGACTTAATTATCGAAGGATGCGAAGCAGCGTCCCTCTTAAATATCGTAAGAGGCGACTAAGGGGATTTAATTGTCAAAGGATGCGAAGCAGCGCCCCCCTTAAATATTGTAAGAGGCGACTAAGGAGACTTAATTGTCGAAGGATGCGAAGCAGCGCCCCTCTTAAAATATGATCAAAGCCTAACTTCGGTTGCCAACCCGCGTACCAAGCGTGGCAACTACTGACAAAACCCCATATATGAGGGAGGGCTATTTCAGCAATGGATGGACAATTAACGGCTGATATAATAAAAATATTGTTAAATTGAATTTAGGAAAGAATCGAAATAATCCCAAATGAAATTGTCTACACTTATCGGCAAATACGATTATTAATTGTCATAAATACTTAAGTAACGTATACTAAAGTAATAAAGTGGAAAATATTGTTTGTTTTTTTTTTATGGTTTGCGGTGCAATATTTAAGGCATCCCGTACTCGCTATTGGATACGGGTGACAGAATGCCTATACAAGAGGGTACATGGTGGACGCAATTTAGACGCAATATTTGAGGAGCACTACGGCCGGATACTGCAACAAAAAAAAAAGAGTATGTGGTCGGCCCCCGAACTGGCGACCTCTGCTGTCTACCGGTCTCCAGTTCGAGGGTTGTTTGAAAGCGCTAATCTCTATATCAAACCATCGAACAGCCGGATTTCAAGATTCATTTTTACATTTAATAGCTCATTTCTTATAGGCCATTCAACATTACGATCCGACAACGGACGAAGCCGCGTTAAATGTAGTATTTTATAACAGTCGTGTGCCAATTACAAGAAAAATAACATATAAATCTGATTACATATATATGTTTCAGCGCTTACTCGTAATCCATTACTATTATTCTAAATACGAAAGTAAGTTTGTTTGTTTGTTACGCCTAAAATACTGAATAGATTATGATAAATTTTGGTATAGAGATAGATGGGACCTTGGAGATTATAGGCTGCTTTCTCTCCCAATTAGTGAACATATCTTGGTCACGCAGACGTAGTCGTGGGTAAAAGCTAGTCATATATAAAATGTATACTTTCTGTTAAAGCAAGTACATAATTTAAATAATCAAAAACAATCTAAAATAATCATAATAATTAATATACATCCACTAAATGAATAGAAAAATTCAGTGCCTGCAAAATTATTTATCATTAGTGACGTATAATTAATCTATATACGTTATTTTATCCTACAGTAACGGGAGATAGTGGGAAGAAGCTACATCTATCCCTCAGGGACTTGACTTATAAGACCAAGGCGTTTGAGCAAATTGTTTACCGAGAAAATTTTTTCAGAACTGTAATCAATGCAATATTATAATCCATTACTTAACTACCTTCATAATTTTATAAACTCCGAAGGCTATCTGAAAAAAACTTAGGTTGGCCTTCATTGACCACTTTTTACACAACGTTTTCTGTGCCTACAAGCTACAAGTTTGTTGCGATTGTAAATAAAATAATACTTCTTAATGACAACAATAAGATTGTTCACATACGTTAATAATATTCAAATTAAATGGATTACTTCATCATGAAGTTGGAAAAATTCAACCCTCGGTCATTCTTGGTCAGACAGATATTTACACGACAAACGTTTACAAATAAATACAGATGCTATAGTATTTTACAAGATTTATACTAATGACATAGACGGCCAACAATGGCAAACAAATAAGTACAATATTGGCTATGTATATACCTTTGTCTTACCTATTTCTACTTTCAAAAAACTTACTGGTAAATCTTCATGATACAAAACACAGTAGCAAGAGTGATTCCTCTAATATAGCAAATATTTTTAATAATCATGTACCATCAAAGGATCAAATTTTGCTGTTTGTCTTAAAGGACTAGGTTTTGGACCCAAATTTAACATATTCTTTCCAATTACATGTTTGCTCGCTGCAACTGCAATTTTCGGTACTTCATAGTAAATAAACAACTAGGAAAATACTAGGTTTAATTACACTGAACCATCTAAATTGTCGTTACATACAATCCAATTCCATAGAGCGTATCTAATATTCATTGAAATTACTGTAAAAAAGATTTTAAACCAAGACACGAGACGAATACATTGTTTCAACACGATTCAATTAAATCTTTATTACAACCAATCATAAAGGTCATATTGAAATGAAATTGTAGCGCTTGTACAGAACTTGTCGCGTTATCACGAACAAGCTTAAATGAAGACAATGTATTAGCATTTTGAACTTTATGTTTAATAAAAATAAAGACTATCAATGGATTAAATAATAAAATTGTAGCATCACAGTGTGAAGCATTAACCAAGGTCGTAGTCAAAACAGTTAAGCAAGGTTAAGGTGATAAAAAGCAAGTTATTATAGTTGACGGATCACAATTAGCATTTTGGGACTTGGTTAGGGCTGGAGTGGGAGCTGACGATTTTCATTTGTTTAGAGCAAGTCATTTTGAATTGTAAATGGTTGAAGAGCAAGTGAAGTCACTGACTTGTAATTAATGAAATTCGTTTATTTAAATTTTTACGATACAACTGAGTTAGTACGATTTTGTTGTAATTAAGTATGGGGATACCTTGAACTGGAGTTTTCTATTATTATATTATAAACCGCCTCGTGATAAGATAAATTGAATGACTAATATTTATAAAGACATCAGACTATGTTTCGGTGACTCTGATACGATATCGGTAGAATTCAAATACCGATCTATCTATTAGTAAGATCGTATAATATATTTTTGTATATCTTTATAAACGAGTATAAAATAATTCGTGTTGCCAAAGTATAATTTAATTCTGTACTAAGAATATATTTTTTTTTTATAAAAACAATTTGTTTTAACAACTGTCTAGAAAGTCCAGTTCAGATTGTTTTGGTGTTTAGCCGAGAAGCGAGTAATTTAGCAAATAAATACGAATAAATATCAACAACATTTTTATCAACTTTGATCAAATGCGTAGTTCTTTTTAATAAATTATTTAAATGAGTATAAGGCAAATAAGGGTTTTGGATCTTAAAACTTGTTATTGAGTTTGATCGACAAAATTTTTGTAATTTTATAACGGAAAATTATGTTTTATGAATTGGTGCTTGCTATCTAGCCATATATATTTTCGAATATTTACTGATATTTTACTGAAAAGCAGTACTTTTAGAAAAATACCCGACTACTTTTGCTCACATCACATAAATGCATCAGGAAATTCTAAGATCCGAGTATTATTTATAATTTTATACTAGATATTCTATTCGCGGTACCGTAGCATGACTTAGGTATATGACAAGACGGCTACTATTTTGCATTATTTCCCTTATATCTTCACAAATGTAAATATTACAGCCACACCTAATTAATTTAAAGTTAGACTGATCTTAGAAAAATTTATATAAAATCCTAAAAGCCGAAACAAAAAATGCACGCAGTTCGATGCACTTTTATGTACAACTGTTTTTAATTAACAATATTATCTTTCATTCTACATTCTTTTCTCTTAGCAAACCATTTTTTACTTAGATATCTTTATCAGTATCGAACAAAACACATTAAATTTTAAATTTACTTACTTACAGTGACGATAATTGAATTTAAATCGTACGTTAATACGTAAACTATTTTATTTAAAATAAAGGCCACATAATTGACTCATTAAAGATCGATTCAATAAGATGAAGCTAATTAAGGTATTAAATTGGACAAATATAATAAAGTGTAATTCAAACAATTCCTACGGCACAAGATATAAAGTTTATATTCAAGACAGAAAGTTGGGAAAATAACAAAAGTTAACTTTTTCGATTCCAAGCAACTTTCCGTATATTTGAATTGAATATTAGAATCACGGAGTGATAATAAAACAAAAACGCAGTCGAAAAGTTTAAAAACATAATTGATTGTTATAATCTGCACATTTTTTAATCGATCCATAACATCACGAAATGAATCATACAAATAACACATAGAAACTAGATAGGTATGCAATTAAAATCCTGTTTTCCGATTCATTTCCAGTATTGCAATAGAATTAGCAGCCGTCTGCCCATCGGCTTCGCTGCAATTATATTGATTGTCCGTCGTTACTGTACGCCAAGACCTGTTTGATTATACTCAAGGATGCCCAGTGTAATTAGAAATGAATAACAAATAGATACAATAATGACACCTGACCCCTAGATTTTATCTGATTAAACCAGTGATTATGCAATAAAATATATAGGATTCTCTTTAGTTACAATAGCCGCAAACAAATCAACGACTGCTGTATACAAATCCTTTGAAGCAGGTTTATGTCTCTTACGATCATGTCAATCACTGCCATACAATGGTTGCTGCTATTGAAGTATCGTATAGTTGTGCTGTAAAACAGTTTATTATGAACGTGCGCTGTTCCACGTGCCTGCGACGTGATAAATAATGTATGAGTTGTTATATTATATGATGATATATATTATGGTTAGCAAATGGTTCAGTCACGACGTCTCGTTTTTTGCACCGAGTCAAGGCTGAATCTATTGTATAACAAAACAAACAAACACTCACCTGAACTTGCCCAATGAATGGTCCTCCCATTTGATTATAGCTGGACAGTATTTAGGATCAAATAGAAGATTCCTCAGGAACTCCGGAACGGAGACGCTTCGAGGGCGTTTGCAAACTTTTCGCCCGCTTCCTTTTGGCCTTCCTGGTGGTCTCTTGAATCTTTGTTTACGTTTGTCATCCTCATCACTAGATTTGCTTCCATCACTCCCGTAATACAAGGGAGAGCCCGTGTCTGACCCGCGGAATACTTCTTCAGCGTCGTCGCTGTCACAAGGGGGCTGCAGAAGGCTGCTGTCGTTGGGTCTGTAATCTGACGGATATCTGTTCTTATGGTCCAATGTATCTAGGTCGAGCATTGTTTGCATCGAATCCGGGTGAGGGTATAAATCAGTCTCTCCATATCTAAATACTGCAGACTCTTCGTTCAACCTGTATTGGAGTTTCTCATAAATCATATCCCCTATCCGTCTACTGGCAGAGGAGTCCACGCTCGGCATCATCATTCTCGCAACGATATCCTCCCTTCTCAGTCCTTTGAGTTCCATACCCGAAATCCTGAAATTGTGTGATGGTACATCATACTCGTTGATTCCGAATAACTGAATAGTCTCAATGAACCAGGAGAGCGAGTCATCTTCGGTCCAATCACTGATGATTTTGTGTTTCCAGTCATCCCGGTGGTAATCTTGAGTGGTAGCAGTCAGGTTAGTGTAAACAGAACCAATTGTGTCGTACTCAGGATCAGGGTATGACTCGTGGATTGTAGCATTGGTGTAGTAGTTACTGTAAATGATCGGCATTCCCTTTTTGAAGACTCCGAATTCGTCGAGCCTCACGTGTTCCGGGGAAGTGGATGGTAGGTAGAGGTTGCACATGTTTTGATCGTAACCGCGCGGATGATCAATCATGGCTGCGTGCGTCGCGGCCGACAGTTCGCGGCGTAATGGGCGGCAAGCGGCGATCGCTCTTTATGAGACCTAGTATGCACGCGACTCTTCTATTTGTTTACGCGATACGTCCTACTACTGATACTGTGTTGTCGAGTTAGATAATATATATCTAGATATAATGGAAGGTGCGGTGTACAGCGATTGTGCTGTGACGCTGTACGAACGACTTGACGTGTGACGTAGTTCGAACGATATAAAGTTTATATTTAAGAAAACTGTACTAAATATGTTTTATTATTTACTAATGACATTTATAATTAGTTACCCAAATTGATAAATGATTAATTTTAGTTGATAATTGGGATTTTCTCTTAATTGTTAAAATGATCAGAGATGATTGTTGTGTTGTAATTTTTAATATTATGTAATACCACTTTATACAATAAATAAATGTAGGTTGGCTGGAAGAGATCTCTTTCAGAGATAAATCCTCCCTTGCTAACAAGTTGTTAAACTAATCGTCGCATATATTGTTTAAGTGCAATAAAGAAATATATATATATATATATATATATATATAATGTATAAATATTTGCGACTAGCTAAACTTAATATTTTTAAATTAAAGTTAAATATATAATTTATCATTCTATATGTTTGGAATCAAATGAGAAATGTTTGATTCAGGTCAATAACTTGCAAAACATTTGATACTTACACCATATTCACAATTCCCACATCACACTCCCCAACACAAAGAAAGTGGTAACTATGGCCGTCTATACATATGTATGTATGATTTGGGCAGGTGAGATAAAAAATAGTTCAGTCAACTGAGCAAGTAAAATAAAACGCCCCCAGCTCAGTTAATTGAACTGGACAACTGACGTGTATAATAGAAATAGAAATAATTAATAATAAATAATAAATATAATAAATTATAGAAAAATTATAATAAATTATAAAAAAATATTTTAAAATTAATTTTTTTTTTTTTAATTATAGATAATAAATTAGAAAGCGCATTCAAGTATTGATGTTGACAATGAGTTAATATCATGTTTTATTTATTTATCATTAATGCTTTTGATTTTAACCATTTATATATTATAAAATATTATATATAGGGGAAAAGGGATTGTTAGCAATGGAGTTTGACAGCCCCATTGCTAGCAATATGCCTTATTAGGTCAACCTCCACGCGGTTCCCCCTGGAAACCATCGTGAACAATTCTTGTTGAATTCGTCACGATGAGCTAACTGGCCTGCTTTCATCGTCACATATCATCCCTCACTGGTGCCCCACCAGCGTATACCGATAGCGCAGGCGAAGTTACCATTTCATTATCACCTATTAAAAAAAACTAGCCATTTCTCGTGGTATTGCCCGCTTCTATGTAGTTCCCGTACATCATTTCCATTATGACCTCTTTATGAATACCTTCATAAACTCGGCCAATTCAACTGATTCGGTTATTTTATAATATTTTATATGTGATTATTTAAATTGATATAACTCTTTTATTTATGAATCGATTGAAATAAAACAAACACTCAATGTTAAGTGGAGCAAACCGCAACGCATTAGTGCAAACCGCGTTCAAATCAGTTAAACCGTTTCTGAGATTAGCGCGCACAAACATACACAACAGACAAAAATTCAAAAAATCATTGTTTTGGGTTCTATTTCGTTCATGAAGCCCCCGTATAATAAGTTGTTCTTATATATACGTATCTTCCATGTACAGACAGCGATCAGTTACGATTTTATTATATGTATTGATTATCATTGATACTTTTGATAGATAAATAGATAGATATATGGCGTGAATTTACAGGGTACGGAGAAATAACACCTGAGTCCTCAGGAATGGCAACGTATGGGGGGTATCATGGGCGAAACAGTATACTCTGTTATGTGCATGGTACTGCTCATGTCTATAGGCGACGGTTACCACTTTCCATCAGGTGGGCCGTCAGCTTGTTTGCCATTCTAAGTTGTGTAAAAAGATAGATAATCTTCATTACCACTCATAATGTTTAAAAAAATCAACAATAAAAAGAAAAAAATAATTTATTTTGCTAGTAAAAGAAGTCAATTATCATACTGTATTATAATGACTTATATATATATATATATATATATAAGAGGAATAATTATAAACAATTTGGTCGGAAGCACGATGAAAATTTCTGTTAGTTCTAAATATATATATATATATATATATATATATATATATATATATATATATATATATATATATATATATATATATATATATATATATATATATATATATATATATATATATATATATAGGAGATAGGTATAATGAGTAGGGTAATATTTATATTATTACACGTATCACATCTCCATATTTAAAACTAACAGAAATTTTCATCGTGCCTGCGACCAGATGGTCCTAATTGTCGTTACTCCTCTCCATTCAAAGGTTGCCTGGAAGAGATCGCTCTAAGCGATAAGATCTCCTATTGTTTTCTCTTCTCTGTCTGGACATTTTAGTAAGTATGACTTACCAAGACTTCCAACCACGACATAACCGTTACGTTAATAATACCCATTATTGATCAACTATATTCTTCTCCATTCCAAATAATACGACGTGTATTCCTTGCTACTAAATAACTCATACAGTTAAATTTAGAACCTTCTTTTTTTATACAACTTAGAATGGCAAACAAGCTGACGGCCCACCTGATGAATAACAGAGTATACTGTTTCGCCCGTGATACCTCCCATGCGTTGCCATTCCTGCCATTCTTTTAATGTAGTATAATGAAAACCACAAAAAGTAATAAATTTTCAACAGCTTTACTAACATTTAAAGTAAATGTAAACAGCTCTTTTACTAAATTTGGACACTGTTTACACTATTCCATTAAAGAATGCGGATTCCAATAGTCTCGCAAATAATTGACCTATATTTTTTTTTGAAAACGATGCGGTAACTACTCATTTAGAACAATACAGCTATATAGCTAATAATAATAGTAAATAAAGACATATGGCAAGTCAGCCTTTAATTATCCACTGCTGGACATAAGCCTCCCCCTAGTAGTTTTGCCAGTAGTTGCCACGCTTGGCAGGCGGATTGGCAACCGCAGTTAGGCTTTAGAGATGTTTTAAGAGGGACGCTGCTAACCATTCCTCGCCCTCCCACAGTCAATTTTTACGACACTCACGGGAAAGGAAGGGGTGGCCTATTCTATGCCGGTACCACACGGCAAAGATATGAATAACTACATAAAATGCCATCACTATATGGTAAATACACATTTTCTATACAATATGTCGTATAGAAAAATCAAGCGTAGTCATGTGGTAAGTTATCTTCACCCAGTTCATATTGTTCATAGATTTTTCGCCTAAATTTTTTTCTGCAAGCATTTGCACTATCATGTCGAGTTATTATAAAAAAAAAATACATTTGATCCGAAGGGGCGGAGAAGGGGTTTAATAATGTGAAATAAAGGCCCCAATTGTTACCAATTTAGCCTCTATCAGGCTAAATTGGTAACAATCAGACGTGACAACCGTCTCATGACTTCTAGACCGAATTGGATTTTTTTTTAATTACAAAAGATATTCTTACAGTTTGATCCCATAGAAATTTTATCAAAATCGGTTCAGTAATTTAGTTTTCAGATCAAAATAATGGGTTTGTCATAATTGAAGTTGGTTAAATATAAGTTAAATCTTTAATTATTTTCGCTCCCCTGTATGTTACCTAGGCAGTACAAGCGTCTACGATGTGTCCTGATTTACTTGAAATTATGGCCTGCTGTAGGTATAACAGGAAAGATGCAAAAGCGTCGTGCTGTCTAGATGGAAATAGGTATTGGGATACATACTGAATCATGCACTTGCGTACGTCAGAAAACCACAGTAAGTACTTGTAAATATAATATATGAATTACTTTTGTATGTTATAATATTAATATAATATTATACTATCATTGAAATAAAATACATAGTAAGTAGTCCCATAGTCTACAGCAGGGGTACCCAAACTTATTTTGTGTACTGTCCACTTTGAGAATAAATTATTTTTTAGCGCCCCCATTTTTTCATCTACTTAAAAACCACTATTACTTCAAGATCAACAAATCACCCCCCAAGCCTCTACACAACGCCCCTGTTTTTTTTTCTGGGTCTCTAACTCTTTTAGGCCTGCAATGCCAAGGGGGCGGGGGGGGGTGTTATTTTCAGGCGCCTTATGTTCAGCAGTGGACAGTTAAAGGCTAATATGATGATTTTTTTTATACAACTTAGAATGGCAAACAAGCTGACGGTCCACCTGATGGAAAGTGGTAACTGTCGCCTATAGGCATGAGCAGTACCATGCACATAACAGAGTATACTGTTTCGCCCATGATACCACTCATGCGTTGCCATTCCTGAGGACTCAGGTGTTATTCCTCTGTACCCTGTAAATTCACGCCATATCCCACCCTTCAAACCGAAACACAGCTATGCAAACACAACTGCTTTATGGTTGAGACACGAATGGGACAGAGGTACCCAAACAAACGACTTTTGTACAAAGTCTCCATCATATTCATTGTAACTGCGTTCATACCATATTTTTATAAATGATATCACTAAGAGAGCTTGGAGTCGGGCAAAATTGATACGCACTAATGCTACAATGATCGTGCGTAGCGCCAATCGTATCACTGCGTAGCGCTGCAGTACGTTCCCCGAGCCATCGTAGGGTGGTACAAATGCCTATCAATTGCTGTAAATCTTGAAACTGTAGTTACTACAGTATCTTTCAATACAACTTGATAAAAATATAAACAAACGAATAACTTTCCTAATCAAAACACAGGCACAGTACAAATAAAAAATCAATTTATTAATTGAACGTTTAAATTGTTAATTTAGAATGTTTCTATGATTGTGTCCACTAACTTTGGTTTAAAAGATGGGATATGGCAGTGAATTTACAGCCTACAGAGGAATAACATTTGGATCCTCTGGAATGACAATGCATGGGGGGAGGGTATCATGGGCGAAACAGTATCTATACTCTTTTATATCCATGATACTGTACATGTCTATCGGCGACTGTTATCGCTTTTCTTCAGG